TATATCCCTTTGATGTAAAGTGTATGACGCTAATAGCCATACGAGCAAATGCCGGCAAACATGTTCTTCAATATGTTTGCCACCCGCCACACAACAGGGCGTCCACATGACCAGCCGTTCATGAAGGCTCCCCATACACAACACACTTGGCACCCCCACCCGACAAGACTCATTACTCTCATACCTACACAACGACACATTATACGTCCACGAGCGCCACAGAGGAGTAACTTAGATTAAGCGGGCTTCCTTTACCGGATCCGACAGGGCACGCAGCGTGGTTAGAGGAGGAAGAAAGCAGCTAATGCACCGGATACGTCACGCTGTGACGTACCCGGATAGAAACAAAATGCGCCTTCCCCTCCTGCTTTCGTCTCTCCCAACCCCATCCTTTTTTTTTTATTTCACTTGACCTCAAAGTCGCTTGAAAACACGTAGCCAGTTGAAGCCGATCGCTTTTCCAATGACGTCACATGTGACGTCTAACCGTGGGTCAAGTGAGGGCACGGAGGAAGGATAGTGAGGGTCACGAAAGAGGGAAAAGAAAGAGTGCGAGGAGGACGCCAGCGTCAGCGTCAGGGTTGCTCGCGCGCTATTGGTTCCACTCTGTAGGTGACGTGCACGCCTGTAGGTGACGTGCAGGTGACGCTCGCAGGTCCCGCAATGTAATGTGCGGAGTTTTTCCGGCTGTTCCATCGTACGGAAGCACCCACAACCTGCCGCCACACTCTTTGTCTACTTTTTCTCCCCATGTCTTTGCCCCATGTCTTTGCTTCAAACGACCAAGAAGCAGGCAATCTTGGGGGAGTTAACAATACCCTCTCCGAGGCTTCCGCGTCGTATGAATAGGCAGCTCGAGCACCCAACGGAAGTCCTTTCTTCGCTACCCTATTGCTGTATCCCCAACCTCGTCCCTCCTTACCATGCATTGTGGCTGGGGCTGCGCCGCTTAGCCGGAGAGTGACAATGGCAGAGCTGCTAGCATGGCTGAAAATGAGGTGCAGGTGTGCAGGTCTAGTGGCTAAGGTACTCGGCTGCTGATCCGCAGGTCGCGGGATCGAATCCCGGCTGTGGCGGCTGCATTTCCGATGGAGGCGGAAATGTTGTAGGCCAACGTACTCAGATTTGGGTGCACGTTAAAGAATCACAGGTGGTCAAAATTTCCGGAGCCCTCCACTACGGCGTCTCTCATAATCACATGGTGGTTTCGGGACGTTAAACCCCACAAATCAATCAAATCATCGAGGTGCAGGTGTGCAAGTTTAGTCGGTGTCGCTGCGTCACCAGCACGTCACCTCCAGAGGCGCTGACAATCGTGACAATGGCGCTGGCGTCCTCCTCGCACTCTTGCTTTTCACTCTTTCGTGCGATGCGGTACCAGCAATTCCAAATACGCTGTCCGCGCAACCTTACCAGGTGAAAGTTGAATTTTCGAACCACTCGCGCCATTTCCCACAGTAACGTCCTGTGGTTCCTTTTTTCGTGAATCAAACAAGGAGCGTTTCATTGCGTCTCTTGAGGCACGGAAGGTTCTTTATTTTGTGCAGCTAGTAGTTTTTTTTTTCTTAGACGGTGCATCCAATAGGCACCACACACTTTCCTGGTACCTTTGTTACTACTTGCGTACAGTCAGTTACAGTATTGTAATTTTCTAATTACTCGGACACTTCTTTTTATTCAGCAGCGGTATGTGCCGCCAGTGGGCTGACTACATTCATATTCATCGCATTCTACGGCATGCTTCCCGATAGACAACACCACCTACTCGTCTTCTTATCTTTCATATCTAAACCCTCTGTGAAATGGATAACCTCAAGCCACTGTGTTCCAAGACGAAACGTACAGATTCTGCACAAAACATTCCGAGTGCCTTAACTCCAAATGTCGCTTTACTGTATGTTCACAAAGTGCTCCTAATGTCCCACATGTATCTGCATGCCCGTGTATTAAACTACAAGAGTGTGAATTCAACAGTACATAGCAACTTGGGGCACATTGCAGCCACTCCCACATACATCCTGTGGCCAGTATGATGGTCGCAGGTAACTTAGACGTGCATAGCCTTTAGAAAGGGAGCTACTTTCATCGGCCGTGCACTGGATAACTAGCGAAACCTTAGACAGAGAGATACGGCATCGTATCCACTTTTCCTGTCAATAAAATGATCTATCTATCTATACTATCTATTCATGTCATCTACGATCAGTGCTTAGGTATTGAACTAAGGCGTAACAGAGTCGTAAAGTTAATGATAATGTATGGGGCCTTAACGTCCCAAAACCACGATGAGATTACGAGAGGAGGAGGAGGAGGAATAAATGAGGAAGGACAGGGAGGTTAAGATTACGAGAGAATCCGTAGTTTAATGGGCACCTAAATTCAAGTACACGAGCCTCAAACAATTTCGCCTTCATCGAAAATGCAGCCGCGGCAGGAGGGATTCGATCCCGCGACCTTCGGGTTAGCAGACGAGTGTCATAACCACTAGACCACCACGGCGGGGCTGAGTCATAACATGAGAAAGGATATTGATACGAAAATGCGGCTAAACACGGCTGCAAGAAAGAGGAGGACGAAGTGGGTTTTTCCGTTGGATGCTGGTCTGGCGCCATCTTACTCGTCGAGTTCTGTGCGCTGTAAATAGATCATTAAAGAAGTTACTCGTAACATTATTGGTGGAGGTGGACGACCCCTGTACCTCGATGGAGACGCGCAGCGGTCGCACCATCGGTGAGCTTTCGACTGCTTCGACTGCTGGTACTTCCTCTACGCCGCCCTCGTCAGTCCAAGCCACCACCTACGTCACACTCCCGCACCTCCGGGATCCCGGCACTTTCTCCGGTGATGGTACGATCGACCTCGACACTTGGCTGAAGCGGTACGAGCGCGTCAGTGCAACTCACCGCTGGGATCCCACGCTCATGCTCGCCAACGTGCTTTTCTACCTGGACGGCACTCCCCGAACATGGTTTGAAAGCCACGAAGCCGACATAACGAGCTGGGATCTCTTCAAAGAAAAGATACGTGACCTGTTTGGCGATTCATCTGGTCGTCAGCTCGCTGCGAAGAAGACTCTTGCCACACGGGCCCAGTCTTCTACCGAATCGTACGTCTCCTACATTCTTGACGTTTTGGCCCTTTGTTCCAAGGCCGACCAGTCCATGTCCGAAGACGAAAAGGTTAACCACGTCTTGAAAGGCATAGCCGATGATGCTTTCAACCTGCTGGTTTTTAACAACATCTCGAGCATCGACAACATCCTTAAAGAATGCAGACGTCTCGAACAAGCTAAAGCCCGCCGTGTAGCCCAAAACATCGTGCGCCTTCCGAACACAGCGGCCACCTCTTCGTGTGACGACGTCATCCACCAGGCCCCTCCATGTGACAACCTCACACGCATCATTCGTCGAGAGGTCGAGGCAGCACAACCGGTAGCCACGCCACTACCGACGCCTACGCCTTCCCCGACCACGATTTCTTTGATACAAGCCGTCGTTCGTCAAGAGCTATCGAATGTCGGCCTACATCCTGTACCTGCCGTATACTCTGCTGCACCTTCTTTTCGTCCCCCTTCTGCTCCTCGCATACAACGCAATCCGTCCCAATGGCGTACCCTTGATGATAGGCCCATATGTTTCAACTGTCGACGCGTTGGTCATATCGCACGTCACTGCCGCAGCCGCTGGGCTCCACCGTCCGATTATGCACCTCAGTATCCCACCACTTCTGCTCGCCAATCGTCCCCATCACTTTCTTCATCAACGCCGACCACATTTTCCGCTCCTACAGCACCTCTCAGCAGACCTCGCTACGACCGGTCACCGTCCCCTGCTCGTCGTCAGTCCCGGTCGCCCCCACAACGCCGTGCTGCCTCCCCGACCTATTCGCAGCATCTCCGACCGGAAAACTAGGCCGTGCAGCTTCTGGAGGTGGAGCTGCATTGACGACCTTCGTAAGAAATCCTCGATTAACGTTAACAACGAACCGGAACCTTTTGGACGTTACTGTCGACAATGTTCGTGTCAGTGCGTTGATAGATACTGGCGCGCATGTGTCCATTATGAGTGCTAACCTTCGCCGCCGACTTAGAAAAGTTGTCACGCCCGCCCTCAACCGAGCTGTACGAGTCGCCGATGGAGGAACTGCCGCAATTCTTGGCATGTCCTTCGACATCATCTGCGTAAATTTAGCACCGGGACGGTGCTTCTACCGCCGGGGGTTATGATACGAAAATGCGGCTAAACACGGCTGCAAGAAAGAGGAGGACGAAGTGGGTTTTTCCGTTGGATGCTGGTCTGGCGCCATCTTACTCGTCGAGTTCTGTGCGCTGTAAATAGATCATTAAAGAAGTTACTCGTAACAATATTATATCAGTCATCATCATCATCATCAGCCTGGCAACGTCCATGGCAGGACAAAGGCCTCTCCCGTGTTCCGCCAGTTAACCCGGTCCTGTGCTTGCTGCGGCCAATTTATACCCACAAACCTCCTAATCTCATCTGCCCACCTAACCTTCTGTCTCCCCCTCACCGGCTTGCCTTCTCTGGGAATCCAGTTAGTTACCCTTAACGACCAGCGGTTATCCTGTCTACACGCTACTTGCCCGGCCCATGTCCATTTCCACTTCTTGATTTCAACTATGATATCCTTAACCCCCGTTTGTTCCCTAATCCACTCTGCTGTCTTCTTGTCTCTTAAGGTTACACCTACCATTTTTCTTTCCATTACTCGCTGCGTCGTCCTCAATTTAAGCGGAACCCTTTTTGTAAGTCTCCAGGTTTCTGCTCCGTAGCTAAGTGCCGGCAAGATACAGCTGTTATATACCTTCCTGTTATATCAGTATGGTACAGTAACTCCGTCTCTTCAAGTGCAGTACGAAATGTGAAGCCAGAATGCAAACCAAGTTTATAGACTACGCTAATGATTACACCACACTAACTAAAACTAAACTACCGCACAGTAGCCACGTTCCTCGGTGGATTCATTTCGTGTATACTCACCATCCTTCCGCTTGCTTCTCGCCGGTCCTGAGTCGCAGCACGAACTCGGCCCCGAGAATTGTCGATTGCCTTTATACAAGCGTATACGCAGGCTGTTGTTCCGTCCACGTCGGTGACGTCAGAACGTGACCCCGCGCTCAACCCGAGTTCTTAGGCCGGGAAAGGTCATCGCTGTTGAAGGGCATGTAATGTCACGGGCATCACGCGGAGAACTTTACGCGCATCAATTTCCCAAGTGGATTTCCGCTCATTCAACGTGCATGAACTTCACGGCGCCCTCCGGTAGAGATTCTCAATTTATTTTTCGTTTCGATGGCTGTACATTTGGCACACGTGCTCATCGCATGGCTAAGAGCATCGCTGTCTCTGCAGCCGGTATTTTTTTTTGCCTTTATGTGAGGCACACCTATATATTGAACACATGCTTCTCTTTGGGACTACGTAAGCAAATGTTTCGTAGAAGAAAAAAAAGTACCTCGGAATGTTCCGGCCTGTCTGCAGCAATTCTTCAGACCATGAGTCATTAGGGACGAAGAATGCGTGAAGGCAAGTGACAAAACTTCCTACTATACCTCTCTTACCACCCAGTTGGTGATCGGTATACTCATTCTGCAGAAAGTCTTATAGTAGCCTTATAGTAGCTGTCGGTGTCGGCATGCCTGCAGAATTCTTACAGCATTCCGATAGAGTTTTTAGGTGATTAAAAAAAAGAATAATAACGAAAAGAAATAATAAAGTCACTTGGTACTAATTATGAAAGAATTTGAGGTAAACGTAGAAAGCGTGCATCACTAGCACGTCTGCGCACACAGCTAATTATATATAGTAATTGTACTGCATAATGCGGCATGAGCTGATTTTATAAGAATTTATCATCATCATTATTATTATTATTATTATTATTATTATTATTATTATTATTATTATTATTATTATTATATTATTATTATTATTATTATTATTATTATTATTATTATTATACCATCTGGTGTTCTTTGACGTGCACTGACATGACACAGCACACGGGCCTCTATACCATTCCGCCCCTTCACCACAATGCGAGTGCCACAATAATTCCTTCATAATTAAGTCACTATATAATGCGTGACCGTCCCGTTTTTTTTCTTTTTGTTTGTTTCTTGCTTCGCGCCTTTTTTTTTCCTCTGCTTTTATTTTCACACAATGCACCAACTTGCTAAGCAATGCATTCTATCGAGTCATCTTCCCGTACGCATCACCTTTCTTTCATTTTGGTTTCGTTTCTCCTTCTATACGTCATATTAACATAGTTGGAAATCGTGCACAGCAACAGCTTTGATAGCTCATGCATACTTAATTTCCTTTTGAGGTATGTGCCAAATTAAGATGAACATGCGGTAAACCCGGATTGGGGGCGTTTCTTTAATAATACCGCTTATGAGCAAAGGACATCTCCCTCTCTTGGTGCGTGACATCCCACCAACATGATTTCCGATTACTTACTGTTTACAATTATTACACCTGCGTTGCGCTCATGTTTAGCCAACCCTGACGTATTTGTATTTGTTCCCGTGATGAGGTTCTTCAGAATATTTGGATTAGACGGACTTCATTGCGTCATTGACCACAACGTCCGTAAGAAAGACGGTGAGGCTGCTTTCTGTTTCTCTCACATTATCAAAACAACACACGAACATGAAACGCACAACACGCACTGATGATAACAAAAATTAGGGGACCCTAAAGCTTCGCCTGTATGAGTTGAACGCGATAGCAACATCCTGTACCTTGCGCGTATTTCAAACACTTAGAGCATGAAACCTTTTCGAATTTGCTATACACCCAGGCGCAGTAGCGTGTGTGCCTTTTGTAGAGGGGTACCGGCTTCCAACCACGAAGCCATTATGATAATCACATATTCTGACGCCCGTTGGCGATGGACGCTTGCACCACGCATTATTACTGCAATATTTCATGTTGCACTGTGAAGCATGTATAGGGCAAATGTGTTTGTGAAGCATGAAAGCTACTTTCACTCCACTTCCAAGCAGAGGTAGTTCTTCTCACTATTTTCACAAGGAGAGGTGTGGCCATGCGGTATATAGCATCTGCTTGACACGCAAATAACCATGATTCAATCACCACTGTGCTTCAGAATTTTTTTTTATTGTTACTGCTTTCATTTGCATCGTTCTCGATTTTTCACTCACAACCACCGACACCGGAATTTATGAGAAACGAGCTCTTTAAAGGGCCAGTCAACCAGCCCCGAAAGGCGCAGGAAAAGCTCGCGCATTTTTCCTGCCCGTGACCAACCTCCTTGTACGCGCATGCGACGTCAACTCGGGGATCGGCGATGTGACGCATCACGCAGCTCGTCAATTGGTCTAAAACAGGTCTCAAAAAATAGTAATGAAGTCAGCGATCGCCGATCACCGAGTTGACGTCGCTGCGCGTACAAGGAGGTTGGTTACGCACAGGAAAAATGCGCGAGCTTTTTCCTGCGCATTTCGGAGCCTGTTGACTGGCCCTTTACTAACGCTGTCGCGTCATAACATCCTAAAACCTATGCAAAGAGCTCTAAGCAGACGCATAGACAAGCCTAGTCCAAACTTGACCGAAACAGTCTCACCGGTGAGTGCTATATACTACTGAGATGTCGGGGACGTACATGGCGAGCAGATACGAGGATGCTGTTGTAGGAGGGATTCGACGAAGAGCAAGGTGACGTTTATACGGAGGCAGGCATGATGAAGTAGGCGGGTGCCTACGAAGGGTCGACGAAAGCAGGCAGTCTTCTTCTCAGATGCGCAAACCAGGGACCACAGACAAGACTCGGGACAAACCGTGACCTGGTGGCTGCGGTATGTTCCTGGTGGCTCTTTGGACTGTCGAAGGTTGAGGTCAAGCGATGCAGGCTGCTCCGACTCTTGAGCTCTGCCAGGCAAACCATGACAATGGCGAACTGCATCTATACCGTGCTTCTCTCCGAACGACCACCCCCTTAGCAACTCCCTGGCATTCCTCGGGCAGGCTCGTTGGCTTCCCATTGGTGCTTTCTGGGTTGCCGTGTTTACAAGTCATTGGCCCCTGAAACATCTGAAACATGTCGCATAGAGGCTGACGTAGCGTCTCGCGCCGATGTTTCGTCGTCGTCTTCACCTGTGGTTTTCGTTTCGCGCGCGTGCACTGTTCGTGTTTTTACTTTAAGTGTCGCGCGCTTTTTTGAGGCACTGCACTCACCACAGTTCTACGTGTCTATATCGTGCTGTCCTTTTATTTCACTATTGACTTTGTTGTGGCATGGCCTCGCTTTAGATTGGAATTAAAAGATACGTTCTACGTTGCCGTGAGACGACAACAGAAGCGGATCAATGCATGGACAAGACCAGATCCGAGAAAAGAAGGCCTAATTACTTCAGCCACTTTTAGTGCGCAGTGCCTGGGACAATAGGACATCGATTATCTGTCGTTCTTGAAAAACAGTAAAAAAGGAAGGGAAGAAGAATGCTGAAATCGGTGTCGTTGGGGTCGTTGTCGTTGAAACAGTTTAAAGGAGCCCTGCAACACTTTTTCGGCATGGTCAGTAATTGTCGATTAGTAGTCGAGGCTCCTCAGAATACGTCCGCCAGAGATTAACAGCGCAGCAGGCGGCCGGGAATTTGCGAAAATTCTCAAAGTCAGCTATAGACATTGTTCTTTCACCTCTTACAAACGATGCGAATAACCCAAATGACCACGCCGTGAACCCAAAGTCAACGGCCTTTGGCAGATTTTAGCATCGGCAGCTGCGTACCACGGCCACCGCGGAATGCCGCCACGTCCCTGCCGCGTGCTGATTTTCACCCAGGAAATAAACCACGCGTTACATCCAAAAAATAAGAGCTAAAGGTCATGACGCACGCTGACGGAGGGACATATCTTCTTTCCCCCTCGTCATCCTTATAGAAAAGAGAAAGCACTTCAAGCATGCGACAAATCTCTGTAACTCCGCTCGCACCAGTGGCGTATCCAGAGGGGGTCGGGGGGGGGGGGGGGGGTAGGCGTCATTGCTCCCACAAACCTCCTCTCAGCACCCCCCCCCCCTTGATTCAGTGCTCACAGTCCCCCTCTTATCACCAATAAGGACAAATGAGTGAAATCGCTGTAAGCACACATTAAGAGTATTTATGCTGCGAAGGGGTTTTTATGCTAGTAAAAAAAAATAGTCATGACCATGCTCCCTCTCTGCTTTTACTTTAGCCATCACCCACCTCCCTCTAAAATGAGTGGCTGGATCCGCCCCTGGCTCGCACTTGACGAATTCTTTTTGTTTGTTTGTTTGTTTACGCCAGTCAAATTGTGAGGCAATACGCGCTTAAAGTAAAGCCATTAGACGATTGCTTGGGAAAGTGCTTCAGGGCCCTTATAACAGCGCGAAACACCACATTTGAGCGGGTAGAAGAAATGTTCATTGAATGGGTCCAAATATTAGATAGGCACCGAATATCGACGCATTGATTAATGTTCGTCCCGCGTTACTCTTGCATCCCTATTGAGATCATGATCTTGAGCACGATCTCCCCTTTGAGCTGGTTCAAAACTATATTTTGATACATTTTGAAACGCGTGCTTGATGAGCTTGCACTTTTAACTGGGTAGAAACTAAAAAATGTGCTTGTGAACTGATAGCAAGCAATCACGTGACAGATTAACGTAACACCAGTGGGTTTAACTGAGGCTGTACTAAATTCATTTGGTAGCAATTCATAATGCTCTTCCTTATTTACCATGGTGACAGAAGGTTGTATCTGTAGGATGGTTACATTATATTACTGAAGCCACAGGGAGACGTTCCCTTGAGATTACTGAGCTGGCGGCATGAAGTAGTTGGTTTTCATGGATGAATGGATGGACGCACGGAAAGATGGGTGGATAGACAGACGAACTGATTGATTGATAGATGGATGGACTCGTAGAATTCAACGCCCGAAGGAAGGGAAATAGGAGGAAAACAACGCCAGGGAGGATAACCAGTCTATAGGCAACCGGTTTGCTACTGTGTGCATGGGAGGGGGATGGGGATATGAAAGATAGAGGGCGGGAAGAGAGATAAACACAGCACATCAACACGCGCGCACACTCAGTCATAGTCCAGTCTTGTCTTTCGTGGTTTGTGACATTGCTGTTACAGCCGCTTGTTCAAGTCCATGTCGCGTAGGAATCTCAACAGTGCTTTTGTCGCCTTCGGTTACAATGTCTTCTCTCGGGAACTTGAAAAGAAAAGTGTCCACAGACATTTGTTGTTGTCGATGCGCGTAAGAACGGGCGCCAGTGACTGTCTCTGGATGTCATACAACGGACAGTCGCACAGGATGTGGTGTGGCATCTCTTCGCAACGACAGGCATCGCAGAGAGCGTTGTCGGCCATTCCTATGATAAATGACTAAGACTTTGTAAATGGCACCTCTAGCCACTAGCGATCAAAAGGGTGGCTTCTCTTCGGTCGAGCCCAGTGGGCATGCGGAGAGCCATCAAAGAGGTGGTGTTGACTATCGCCTCGTTGCTTGGTGGGCACCATAGTGAAAACGTGATTTCACGCGCAAGTCGCCGAAGATTATTGGCAGCATCGGTCCGCGAAAGTGGTATGGCTTCTTCTGGTGTACCTTCAAGAGCTGCCCGTGCGGCAGTATCGGCGTGTTCCTTTTCTATGACGGCGCAGTGACTTGGCAGCCACTGAAACGTCACAAATCAACTCACCTAGTTTACGAAAGATGCTGGGTTGTACAGAAGTGGAGGATTTCGGGTAAGTTCTATCAGATGGGATTATTCGCAGGGCACTGGCATAGCACAGTGTCATCATTTAGGTGGGGCAGACAGTGCGCGGACATCTGGTGTTTCGCCTCCATATAAATGCGGGTGCCATGTTCACATCGCACTCGGCCTCAGCAGCCGAACACCGTACAATAGGCAAATCAACGTGATCTTAAATAATTGAACAAGATCAGACCTACAGACATTTCTAAAAAATGGCTCCCTGGGTGCCGCCGTAGTCCTTCCTGGGCCGCGATAATTTGCGTGACCCCACCTTAAATGCACTGGCGAAGCTGTCACTTCAGCCTTTCCACTTCCGCGCGCAGCCCAGCATAGTGGCTTTTTTTTTTTTTTTGAAAAGGTGTATTCGGTCATTCCAGTGACGCAGGCAGCGCCATGTAGCCGTTCTCCGAAACTGTCACGTGGTGGTAAAACTGTGACGCAGTTCGGTCTCTCAGTAGTCATAAAACCAATGAACGCGTCCTCACGCTCTGCGACGCTGACGTAAACGCTCGTGACATCACCGTCTCGTCCGCCATTTTGGTCTCCCGAATGATGGAATAGGCCAAGCTCAAAGCATAGCGAAGTTGCTTTAAACTTGAACTTTAGATCCGATACAATTCGATCTATCTAATCATTGTCAGTGGGCAATGGATCACGTCGTGACAATGAGTGATAACCAAAATAGGGGTGGGCCCTCTGAGGTGACTCATCTGAAGGCTCGTGGCTAAATAGCCTCGCATCGGAATAGATATCCTTCCTATATTTAAAAGTCATGCTTTTGAAAGGAAGGCTGACAAATGTATGCACTTCTCTATAGGACGTACTGTATACCAGGAACGCGACGGTGGGTTTTCCATGACGTCGTTTTTATGGGTAGGTATTTTCCGTTGTTACGTCAGAGACAAAGTTTGAATTTCGGTGAGTCATATATTATTGTTAGCTTGTTCCGAAACAAACTTTGACAAAACAGCTTATTGCTTATTATCGTTCAGCCGGTTGTCCTCGTCCGAGCGACGTGTGAACTTTTACAGCGTTTCGTTTATTTTCTACACGTATATGTCACACGATGTTTGAACATTTAAATATAACGTCATGGATATGGGGAAAGCCCTAGTGAAAAATTTCCGGTTGATTTTATCGCACGTGTTTCCTTCATTTGCGTCTGACGACCCACAGACGTGCGAAGCGTTTTTTGCCTCCACTTAAAGGGACACTATAGATAACGCTTGTGTGTTTGTGTGTGTGTGTGTTTATAACCGTGTCTCTTTATATCCGAGCACCCCTTCCATCAGGAAACCCGAAGCCGCGTGTCGAATAATATCGTCACAATTGCTGGCCCTTTAAAACTTACTAGGCACCAACCATGCAGCGAGCAATGGAGCGAAGAATGGCATGAATAACTCTAACACACATTAGGACAATTAACAGCCTTGGCCACAAAAAAGTCACATCATATCCACGGAGTGAATGATGATGAGTGGGGCAAAGCGTCCGTCCGTCCGTCCATTCGTCAGTCTGTCTGTATGTGTGTTTGTGTCTGTCCTTCTGTGTGTCCGTGCATACCTTCGTCCGTCCGTCTATCCGTCCGTGCACTCCATGGATAAGCCGCCGAGGCCCTCCTCTCCGCTTCATCCACGCCCCACTAAAACGAGGCGACGAGCACGAGCCGCCACCGCGATCCGCACCCGCCACTCTGCTTCGTCCATGCCCCACCAACGATAAGCCATGTATACGGTGACGATCCAGGAGACTGTGAGAGAGGTCCTACTTCCTCGCGCATACAGGCACAATGCGTGCAGCAGCCCATCAGAGAGTAGCGGTACAGTGCCATCTAGAATATTATCCTCACCCAACTACAGTTCATATGTACCTTTATGAGACAGCTCCGTCTATCATACTGTTCGGGAGATACTGTCTTCCTTTTTTTTTCCTCGTGTCTTCTCTCGGTTAGGCGTGACAAGGTTAGACCAAGAAAAGCTGCGCCCCTGAAAACAAAAAGAGGACGGTTTAGCGGATGCTTCAGTATACATTAAAATGGGAAAAATGGGCCATAGAATTTGACCACATGAAAAGGAGAGATGGTCATTTACAATAGAGGAATGGATACCAAGAGGTGGGAAGCCCTTCTGAGTGCGGCAGAT